AGCATGGAGATTTAGCTGCCTCCTACCAAAATCTGTGAGAATGCAAAAGTGCACAGGGAGTGGTGAGCATGTTCTGAATTTCCATCTGCTGGTTTTATTGGCTAGAGCAGGTTGTAAAGGATGTGTGCTCTCAAAATTGCTGGAGATGCAAACAATATTTTAAATTACTCCAGGCAGCAAGGCACTGCATCTGAACAGATTGAAATCTGAAATGTTGATATCAGAAATTAAATTAATGCACATGAGATTGAAACAATATCTAATTAAAATCACTTGAAAAATGACTTGAAAATTGAATATGACATAGTATTTAGCAGGCTGTTGCTAGCACAGCGATGTGGCTTTGACTTTTCTGCAACCATTTCCATTCCAGGCCTGGCTGCCAGTTAAATAGAAATTACACATGAAGTAGCTATCTCGTGCCATCACCCTGTAAAGATTGGAGGACAAAATACCTTCTGCCTGCAGTTTGTGTACTTGCTCTTCACTGACTGCATTGTAAAATTTAGTACAGGCACCCTTCTTCTCACTTTATCTGGCCACTTGATTTGGTCATTCTTGTTCTGAGCTGATGCATTTTGAATATTCCATGTTGTGCTTTTGACTTGCTGTGTATATGCATGGCACAGTGTGTGGCCCTGTCAAAGACAAAGGCTCTCTCTGAACCAAGCTATGAAGAAGCTTTCCAAATATTCAAGGGTTTCTTGTAGGGGAGGAGAAAGAAAAGTCCAACTTTATGTAAATAAATGTAACATTTGCTTGTCTTGAGATACTTGTTAAAAAGCTAAAAACTGTAATAAGCACCATCTCTCTGGAATTCCCTTCTTCCTTTCCTTAGAGAGGAAAATAAATTAAATTCTTCTAAATGTGGCTCTTTGAAAGGAGCTTTACAACAAGCTGATGGGAAGAAAACAGTGATTGTAGAATTCTTCTGACAGTCTACAGTAAATCTGAATTAGTTGCTCTCAATTTATTGACTGGAGGTCCAGTCAATATAGTTAGTGAGTCTAGAGCATGAATTGGCTCATTCTAAAATGGGCAGGTAACAGAGGCCAGGGGAATCATATGCCCATAAGTACTATTTTTCCCCACATTCAATTAAATACAACACAGATTCGAAGTCAGATACACACCAAAAATCAAGTTTTCCTTATGAGTGATGCCGTCTTCCCAGAAACATTTTTCATATTTAAGGGTTGTTTCTTCCTTGGGGTGGGTAAATCCTGCAACAGCCTGGGAGACAAACTGGGGAGGCTTCCTGCTGAAACCCTGCTGAACCTGGTTCCCTTTCCCTCACTCGTGCCAGTGTGTGCTCCCACGAGTCAGCTGGAGGGTGCAGCTGTGCTTGGCAGCCTGCTTGACAGAAAACCTCCTTCCAGAAGTGCAGTAATGAGACTGGAGCTCTGCTCAGAGCCCTCCATAACCTGCTCCTTCTAATAACTGATGGACTCTGAGGTTAAACCTGCCAAACCTACACACTCCAATTCCTGACTGTGCCACTGACAGATAACTTTGCTAAAGAAATAAATGTTTGCCCTCAGAAAAGACATCAGACCTCCCTCAGGTTAGTGAAGACTGAGCAGTGACAATCCCTACCCTTAAACACTCAGTAACACCCTCATCATGCTCTCTAATAGAGCAAAGCCATTAAGTTGTCCCCATTGTAATTTAGATCACAGAAGAGACTTCCACAGATTCTTTCAGGTTAAAATAACTGGTACACAGAGAGTAGGCAAAATTATTCCACTGTAGCTACGTGCTTAATTATATGGAATACTGCATAAATTGTCAAGTGCAAAGAATTATTCTGATAAATTAAAATACTAATTAAATAGGCTATTGCAGAATTTTGAGAACATTATAGGGCTCCGCTTCTTCAGGTAATTTGCATATCCTTCATCTAGTGAATTTAATTTAAAGGCCTCCATTTTTGTGTGTTTGGAAGCTGTTTTTATTTCAATGGAAGATTAAAAATGAATTTTTATGTTGCTAACTGGTTTGAGGGGGATTTTGTTGGGGTATTTTTTCTTTTTTCTCCTTTCTTTTTTTAATTTGAATAGCTGTTCTTATTATGCCTCTTTGCTGATGAGTTTGTCAGTTCTCCTTTATTATTATTATAGGACTTTAAACTATGACCATGAAAAAATAACTTCGATGAAATGTGCAATATACCATGTTACCCAGAATTGTAATTCCTACTTTCATAAAATTTGCAACTGAAACATCGGCTGCTGTATACTGGTATTTGAATGAGCTAGCAGTTAGTACACTAAAATATTTTCAAAAATTTGGGCCAATTTTCAGAGAATTAGTAGCTTGTTCTTAATATCTGAATGCATTTTCCCACCACTTCTTCCATCTGTCTATATTGACTTTGTCTTCTTGTTTCAAGTTTTCCGTTATAGTCCTGCATAGAAAAGGTTAAGTGGTTGTATTCACCATTCCACTGCTTGAAGCAGCTGCTTGATACGTGCTTACTGCTTCAGCTTCAGCACCATTTTTGACAGAATTTCTTGACCTTCCTGGGCAGCTTGTGGAGTTCAAGGTTAGCTAAAATTCTCTGCTGTACACGCCTGGAGTGAGCACGCCAGAGACTGTCGGCCGTGTCTCTCCACAATCTGACAGAGCCTGGGCTTGACCATTTTCCGGTTATGATTTAATCAATAACACCTCGTGCCTTCATGCCTCCTAATTTTGGCAGGGTTTGTGTTAGCATGGCTGTCAGACCTGTCCTTTGTGTTTCAGCCAATATCAAGGGAAAAAGCAGGGGTATTAAATAAACCTTTTTTTGTTGTTGTTTTTTAATATCAAAGCTTCAATAATTAATGTCTGCAGGAAACCTATGAAAAGGAGGTCAAATCTGTAATAGTAATTATAAAATTCAGCGATTCAGCAGACCCAATATTTTCTATTAACTGTTCATGCGGTACGAAATTACACAGTGGGATTTAGGCTTTGTTGTTTACTTATAGCCATTTATTTTGCAGCCACTCTACTGTGCAGTTTTCTTTATCCTAAACTGCCAAAGAATCTTTTGTTGGACCTTCAGTTTCTTTGAAGGAGGCTATGGAACTTTCTCATTTCATAAATCTTCAATTTTTGTACTTGGTAGAAATCTGCCTTTAATGTGTTTTCTAGGTGCAAGGTGATCAGTGTGGTAGCATGACATATCTTTTCAAAGATTTACTTATTTTTTTGGAAAATCATACTGCACAAGATATGCAACACTGCAAAACGTGGTCTTAAATTTCATGTTTCTGTCAACTTTCCTTCCCATGGTCCCTTTGGCTCTGTGTGGAATAAATATGTTTGTGAATGTATAAAGCATGGCACAGGTGTTAATTATGTGAATATTGCATGCAGGTTTTCGGTTGTCATTCAGCAAAACACACATTTAAGCTTTCTTAGCTTGGGACTCCAGGTTCCCTTCTGCTTAATCAGCATATTAAAAAGATGCAAAAATAAAAGTGTCTGGGTCTAAAATGTGTGCAGAGATTTCTTCTTTGTTTGAACTGAGGGCAATATTCACCCCTTGCAGAAGGCAGTCAGAAAAGTTTTTCTGTGTTAGAATTGCTAGAGGTGTAACTTTTTGAGTCTTTTGCATGTAAAAACTCTTACAAAAATCTTTCCATAAGTGGTAATGGAGCCTAATGATCTGACTTACCTCTGGAATAAATGTGGCTCATTTGTGTTTCACTTTGGACAAACTCAATAAAGTATGAGTACAGAAAATCTGAGCTGTTTTAAATGTTTCAAATGGCAACAATTAAAGGGAATTTTTCACAAAAAAAAAAAAAAAAAAGAAAAAAAACGAAAAAAAATAAAATAAAAGGTAATTCCCTTAAGTATTTTCATGTAAATTTACAGTGTGCAGTATGTCCCAGCACTTCTTGACCTTTCTGATTGGAAGGTTTGCTTTAGGCAACCAAAGTTGAGAAGCTGCATCTATTAAATTTTGTTCATAATCAAAGAAGAGGTAGGTGCCTGCAGATATGTGTAAGATGTGTGGGATGACTCACCACATTAAATGTGCATCCCTTTCCAAAGACAGCAGAGAGAACCCAGATGACTCACTTGGATTACAGGCAGCTAAAGGAAGGAGAGGTTAACAAGGCTGCAAGGCTTCATTGCTACTCATAAATAAATCAAGTCAGTTGGACTTGTGGGGTTTGGGCCACAAGTCCAGCTGACAAAGTTTGCATCTAGAAGGTCAAAATCTTCCCATCCAGAATGGGATGGCAGTACCCATACACCCAGCTAGGAACAATCTCATCCTTGTGCTGTTCCCAGAACTGTGGCTGAGCACTGTTTTTTGAGGCTGCTGACAGTCACAGGCCAAAACCATACCAGACCATAGATTTAAGGGAATGGGCAATTATACAACAGTGCTCAAGCCCATGCCTTGAGCATGTTTGGGTTGCAAGTATACTTGTAGTCTTAGTGATTATTATCTTTATTTAACTGCTTTATACTGGTTTGCCTTAGTTTAGTTTTTAATGCTTTAAATAATATAGATGCTGATAAAGAAAAAAAAACATATTTAAAAAAAATGTGTGCATTGCATCCTGGTGGTGTGAAATAGACTCTTTATTTTACCTGTGAGATAAGAGTCTGTATATGTTGTGAAAAGTCCTGCACAGTGACAGTGCTGTTCTCTTGGTAAATTACTGCTCTACTCTTTAATACAGGCAAGTGGGAAGTATCCACAGAAAAAAACTTTCCAAACAAATTTTGTATCTGTGTTAAATGTGTGTAATATTGTTAAAAATAGAATTAGCTTGGCTTTCTTTTTCACATAATAATGAGCAATGAATAGCATAAATATGCATTTAAAAAACTGACTAGCAGTGTTGCTCTCAGGGAAAGATATTCCACAAATGGAATAGGTAGGAACTGTTGTGAATATATCGATGAAGGAAAGAAGGTTGGTGGGAAATGATGTAAAATCATACATATTCCAGCTTTCCTTTAACTCTCTCAATCTTCATTTTTCCTTACAGCCATAAACAAAGAGAAGCTTGAAAAAACAACTGGACTGAAAATTCTGCAGACTGGTGTGGGGGAGGTAAGTCCTTTCAGGCATTTTACATTCTCAAAAATATTTTCATTATTGGGATTTTTTTTAAGAAATTCTGGAGTTCATGAACGTTTGTGAGCTACCAGTCTCATGGTGCTAAGGGCCTTTTTATGATACAGTTGCATCTGTCAAAATACAATCTGCTGCACAAATAGCACTGTATCCCACAGAGAAAAAAAATGCCATCCTTATGAGAAAAGTGCAGCCAGCTTTAAGAAATGCAGTTTTTGCTTTGTTGTATCACAGGGAAAAAAATCCCCAAAGATGAGCACAGCGACTGAAGTCGTCATATTATTCCCCTTGGTTTTGATGAAGTGCTATCTCATCTAGTGGAGGTTTAAATTTGGGGTAAAGAATCTTTAGATATCAGAGAGAATCTGATATCTGAATGTCTTGCTTATTTTGGATGTAACTTGAAACATAAATAAAACATGTGTCTGTTATTATAGTGATATCACTAAGCAAAAACTCCACTAAGCAGTTCATCATTTATTAATAAACATGATGCTATCTGCTAAGAACCTTGTATGAACTACAGTTGATTGCTAATTCTCGTGCTAATTTTGTGTACACAGTTATCTCTTTTTTTTTTTTCCTTTTCATTTAAGCAATTTTGCTAGTGGTGAATGCTCACAGGGCTAGGCAAATGTCTTTTTCTCATGATTGCATTATTCTTAGTATTAAAAATAATGAATTACTTCTTCTAATATACTCAAGGAATAGGTTGTTTTCTTTCTTTTCTGATTTTTGGGGTTTATATTTCTGATTTCTATCAGTTCATGCCTAAGAACTTAACTTGATGAGATTTGTGAGGTTCACTGTGCTACTTTATTCACATTACTGACGGACTTGGTCTTGGAGGGGTCTCACACTGAAACCTGCTGTGATGCTGAGGGCCAAAGCTGAAACAAAGATAGGTGAAATCATCAGAAAATTAAAGCCATCATCTCTCCTTAACTGATTTATCTAGGAATGTTTCTTATGGGTGCATAACCTTAAAAACTGGGAAGAACATCCTGGGGTATGCCTGTGCACCTCAGGCTGTGTCCTGACTTCAGGCCAGGCTGAAGTTTGTGGTTGTGCTGTCTGCAGCCCCTGGTTTCTGTTTAATAGCAGGAGAACCAGGATTGGGGTACAGGCTGTGGAAGCCACACAGTATAATTTTGCCCAATGGGACTCATCCATGCTAATAAAATACCTCCATGTATTTTGTCCAATTCCAGTCATTGAATGGATTCCATTCTGCTGCAAAATCAGCTGGAGAATGAAAGCCCACTTCAGATGCTTACTGTTAAATCAGTTTTTGTATTATATGTGGTGAATGGAGGAAAAATTCCCTTTTGGATGGTTGGAATGCAGGAAGATTTCACCTGCTAAATGTATCATTAATCCCCATTGTAGCAAGAGGGTTGCTGTAACCATGGTTAGTCTAGGGATGTACTGGAGCTATAACCTTAAGGACTTCCTAGATTCTAAGACCAGCTAACAGAGCATGAAAAATTGAAGAGTTCTTAGGCCAGAGATCTCACCAGCCTGATTCTTGTGTTTGGTTTAGAAAAAATCACTGTAGAACTCACCTTCCGTATATTTAGGCTGTTGCAACATTTTTATAAAAAACCATGATACAACTTGGATTAAGGAAGACTTGACAGAATTTTGTGCTTTACACTCTACCACATATGTATTATTAGAAGGCAAAAAGTGAAAACTAGTAAACCCAAGCAAAGCAGACATTTTGGCCTAAATATAATCCTGGTTATATCCAAAAGAGGGTGATCAGCAGTGAAAGAGCCAAATGGTTTGGACCAAGTAAGGTTATGGAAGAGCATTTATTCAGCTGCTTATGTATTTTGTTGGATGTGAATTCTCCCAGCTGTGTACATTCCCCTTTCTAAATCTTATCAGATATGATTGTGTACATAATGAATACATTTCTGTGGTCTCACATAAATGAAAAATAGAGGAGTGCTGTAACCAAGCTTTTTTTCTGTTGATACAGTATCAGATTCAGGCTATTTCAGGTCAAATTTAACTATGGTAATCCAGTTTTGCAGTTTGTGTTTTATTAACCCTGGTGAATAATTACTATTGAAATAATAGAAACTATGTATTTAAAGATAATGAAAGAGCTTCTTGTTGAATAAGGATTCCTTTTACTTCACACTGGAATTAGAAATGGAATTATATATAATGGTGACAGTAAATCAAAGTCAAGATGCTCTAATCAAAAGTACTTAGAAAAACTTTAGTAGAGAATGAGAAATGGCCTTTTTGTTTGGACAGCAGGTGAGATGCATGACATACTTAATGGATATATAATCTTCATATGCAGGCCTGTAAAATAAAAAGGACTGATTTTGAAAGGCAATTTTCATATCTGAAATATAGCCCAGATGGTAGTGGCAAAGGGAGCCACTGTCCAAACAAATGCAGGAGCTCTCCTAAGCTCAGCAGTAATTCATGTGTCGCTCTGGACAGTGGAATCTGTTTTAGGTGTCAATCTATGATAACAGGATTTGTGTCTCAGTAAGGAATGTGTGGACACTAGTGACTTCCCAGGCCTTGGCTGTGCTGAAAGGAAACTGTCCTTCCTCTGTGGAGATGAGAAATGCTTCTCAGAGCTCCTCAATCTATCACTTCCTTTCCCCTATCTCAAGAAAAAAAATTTCAAAAGCAACAACAGACTATGAAATTCACACCAAGCTTACTGAGCCATTCAGTCAAGTCCAGGGAGGGCTGATGAATTGCTTTTATGTCACTACATAAACATGTGCTGTATAGTCATTAACAATATGAGTCTGGAGTCTACCACAGCTGCAATCCAGTTCATCATCTTTATGTCATGTAAAAGATTTCCACAGCCTGTGATTCTCTCAGCTAGGCCTGAGTTAGCTGCGTTGTGTCAGTGGAGGGTAGGCTCTGCTTTAGCTGGATTAAAAATGCGTTCCTAAGCTGCGACTTCAGAAGCTGCTCATGTTTCAGGATGTTGACTTAAAAGTTCTGTACCTTTCATGGGAAGGTGTGAATGATAAAATGCAAAGCACTGTCTGGATTCTGGGCAAGCAAAGTTTCTTTCAGGCCATTATAGAACAGATTTTACCAGTATTTCCACCATACATCCACCTCAACATAGAACATTTGTAACAGAATATTCAACAGTACAGAGATCCAGAGAGTTAGATTAGAGTTTGATTATGATGTGTATCACTCTTAAAATGGGAATTATTTTGACACTTACCTTGTTTGCAAGAAGGTGATTATACCAGAAAACCAGAATAACTCTGCTGTAGAGAAAGCCAGTGCTGAGGTTGTAATCTTGAGGATCTGTGCATTGCTGTAATACTATCTCTGGAATTATGTATTTTTTTTATTTGCAGTTTTCCAGCACCTATAACAGGAGCTGGAAAAAACTAAAACTAAAAAAACCAGTAGAACTCCTCTACAGTATCCATGTGAGATTTATTGGTCTCATTGTCATGCATGTTTGTGCCAGACAAATCCTTCATGACCATTTCACACCTTCTTGTTTATTCAGATACAATGAAGCTTTGAGGTATTTTCTTTTGATCTCCTACACATGAAATAAGTCTCTGAAGTCCTGAGGTCATCTTCAGCTGTTCAGTTGTGTCTATGAGGGTATGACTGCATGTGTTGTGTTATTTAGATGTCTATTTGCATAATACCATGAAAGACACAATACTGGTAAAAACTGAAGAGCTAAACAGCATTTAAGCAGGACCCATAACTCTGTTCTCCTCTGCCCCAACTTGATGTGTACCACTACTTGAGTTGAACTTGTTGCTTTGAATGGCTGAGTCCTCCTTCAAGATCTGGGGGACAACATTTTGTCTCACGTGAAGGGAAAGCCTCCTTAGCAGCTGCACAGCTCCACCTGACTCCTCCTGAGTTCAAGAATCAGCAGCAACAGAAGCCCCAGTCCCACACCAACATTATTGCAACTGGATTTGTTCTCAGGAGTTTGTGTATGAAGCACATAAGCACCATTGAATTATTACAGGAACACAGTATTTTTAAGTTCAATTCCGTGCTCAGGTTGGCTGTGACCAGAATTACTGTGATATGAATAAATGTTTATTCAGCTGTTGGTTACAATTTGTTTTCAACCATAGTTTCAGAATAACAAGTCAGGCTCTCCAGTGGCTCAAGAAAGTGTAATGCAGTTTTGGGTATAAGAGTCTGTGATTTGAATAATCAGTTAATGAGGCCTGAAACAAACCAAGGGAATGGCACTGTTCCTGTCTTGAACTGACGAAACAGCACCCACTTCAGAATAAGTTATATTAAATTACCTCTTTCAATTTCCCAGTAAGAATGCACAGAAGAAACTAATCATTGGAATCATAACTTAATTTGTAGGATTTGAATCATGGCTCTCATATGGCAGACATAAAAATTAGAACAGTTTTCTAAAGCAAATGGAAATAACCCAAAATATATGCAAAATGAATGCTTTCCCATACCTCTAGATGTCCTAAAATAGAGCAGTGATATTTTGACATGTTTCAGGATATTCTCATTTATAGATATTTTGATAGGTGTAGTATCATGTTGATGTTGCATAAAGTGATATTACTACAATAAAGAAATCTGTGTTTAAAAATTCTAGTGACGCTAGAGGACATGATAAGACAGACTTTCCAGTGATGTACAGGCTTCTGAGGCAGGAGTCAGATTTCCAGCTTCATACCTTCCTTAATGTTGCCAGATTTTGTCCCTATTGTCCCTATACATCCAGATTTTACCTAGAATGATATTGGATTGAAAATACATAAAAAATTGGAGTGCAGGACTTGACAAATCATTTTTAATTGTTGAAGAATAAGGTGTAAAGTTTTTTCTGATCTTTGACTACTAGGTAAAGTGCTAAGTGCTGGCTTTTGGGTTGCAAAAACTAAATCAGCCTGGGATCTACTCCAGCTGTCTCTGTTACAGCAACACCTTGGCAAGCCAAATGCTCCTGACCTGGA